CGGCAATGGACTTTGCTGATCTTAGAAAATTAAATCTGGCTAAAGCTATATCTCTACGTTGCATCAAAATTCGCCTTTTATCACATTTTTTATAAGAAAAGCCAACATTTTTTAAAACCCTCCAGAAAGAAGTTCTACTGCCGTGAAACAGTCCAGATTCTCGTAAAGTATTTGACAATTTATCGAGAGTCGGCAATTCGTTCCTACTATAGTAGCCATAGATATGGTTTCTAATGGCGTCGTTATCAAAATTGTCGATATGAGTAACTATCGATCTTCTAACTTTTTTCTTAAGTGGCGATTTTAATTTGTTTAAATTGTTGAAAACAGTTTTTCGACTAATACCAAAAGCTGCACTTACTCGGTTAGTCACTTGTGAAAGTGGCAACAATGGACCACCATTCTGATACTCTCTTTCAAAGTAATCTTGTAGGCGTACTACAAAAACTCTCGCACTTGACTGCGAATCACTGTTCTTTTAGTGGTCTCAGTTTCGGCTATAGTGTTTATAAAAACAAAAAAAAACAAATCAAATAACAGTCAAAACTTAATAACAACGAAAGAATTATCAAACAGTTATAAATACAATAACAAGAACGAAATAAAAACACAACACAAAGTCAACTAAACTGAACACGCGTATCGTATACAAGGCTTCTGCACTCGTACTGAAGAGACAAACAAAATGGCGGTCGTGATCACGAGGTGGACGCAATGTTGACAGATTTTCACTCGCGAAAAGAATCTGTCTATAATCGATTTTATACGAATCTATTAGCCACGTCACTATGTAAAAAAGTAGAAATAAAACTACGTTCTAAGTAGAGATGAGACATACTTGCAAAATTTAATACCAGGGCTTCTAAGTACGAGTATGGAAAAATACCAGGGTCGAAAACCAGGTTTTAAAAATACTTGAAAGTATTTGTTAATGTCAATATATATATATATCAATGCCTAATTTGATTCGGGCCAAAATTTATACTGTACCTTTTTAAATTTTTTTTGGTAACGAACTGAAATCTTTCCTTCCTACTTTTCGGCTTAGGACTCTTAATAAATAAAAGTTTTAAAACTGTCTCTAAATTCAATATACACGCGAAATAACTATTTAAAAATTAGGTCACGGTCAGTAGGTTACGTAATCAGTTCACAATAATAATTGAATTTACAAGAAATCGAAACAAAACTTTTACTTCCCCGAATATAAACATAATTCTTATTACTTACTAGCTACTTACGCGACGTGTCCAGTCGCGGTGTCAGTTTGAAAATACTTGCAAAGAGTATAGTAATATATAAGGAAGAATAGTTGCATAGGAATTCGACCCGCTTTCCATGTTAGGCTATTATGACTAAGGAGCAAATTCGTATAAATAAAAAAAATACTTTCAAGTTCAAAGTATTTTTAATTCACAAATACGATTGAGTTTCTTATTACTATTGAGATATGGATCATTTTCCTATGCAAGTATTCTCATATTTGCAAGTATTTTTTGGTCGTAAAAGGGCGCCGTACTTTAAAGTTAAAACCTGGTAGCGTATTGCGACGCGCGCGAGGGACGTGTCCAGCCGTGGTGTCAAAATTTGAAAATACTTGCATAGGAATTTCACCCGTATTCCATGTTATCCTACTATGAATAAGGAGCAAAGTCGTATAAATAAAAAAATACTTTGAAGTACTAAGTATTTTTCGTTAACAAATACGATTGAGTTCCTTACTACTATTGAGATATGCATGATTTTCCTATGCAAGTATTTTCATACTTGCAAGTATTTTTTGCTCGTACCAGGGCGCCGTACTTTGAAGTGAATACCTGGTTTTAAAACCTGGTAGCGTAAATAAGTCTCATCTTTAGTTCTAAGAAGTGTCAAAAGGGACTTCGTAATTGGAATAGAGTATAAGCATGAAGGAAAATCGCCAACTTAAATAATCATTAATAAATAAATTACCTAAAATAATTTCCTAATATACACATAAAATTATGTTTATTGCTTCTGAATACACTTTAATTATAGACTTTGAAATCAAACTCTCATCCTATGTCGCACTTTGAAAAAAATTGATATAATCGATGACATTTACTATATATATATATGTATATAATTTATTGTACTGTGTAGTGGCGGTGTAAAAATATCCACTATCCTAGATATAGGAATATCATCCCGTATTTATCGTAAAAGGCGACAGAAGGAAACAAATTAGATGGGCAGCAACGTCTTTTTTTTATAGGATAAGGGTGACAAACGAGCACACGGTCCAACTGATGGTAAGTGGTTGCTGTGGCCCATAGACATCTACATTTATCCTCGATTACGAATCAAAATGCAGATGAGTTGTCACCCGTGAGGACTAAGATGGAATGCCTCGTTTCCAGTAAAAAGGGTCTCCGGTTCTATAAACTCACCATACTGTTGCGCGCCACTATTAATGTCTTGTACATGGCAACACTAGTTACACTAGCGCCCTCTAGTGTCGAGTAGCAGAACTAGGAGAGTCGAGATCCTTCCAGAAATTTCGGGACCGATATGTACTCGAACATTCTAGATGTCACTACAGTAGAAGGTTCTGGAAACTATCTGAGGCCCTATATAAGGCCGGTATAGACCACGACCGGGGCAGTATTGAATTGGCGATACAAGAGAATACTTCGAAGCGAAATAACGGCGAACTGTGCCTTATTATTAGTGTGATTTTAGATTGTAATTAGAGTTGTGTAATTAAAGTGTCAATATTGGTAATTCGGTCGGCAGTTTTTAATTGTATCGAACCCCAAGCTCGTAACAATTGGTGTCAGAAGTGGGATCAAATCATGCCGATTTTACCAAAGGACGACATGGAGGGTATGCGTACCCGAAGTCAACGCCAGCTAGAGGCAGACCAGAGACGATTTGGTAATGCAACGCCGCAAACGTCGGAGAGCTAGATGCTGATCACGGAGGCCGGCCTGTCAGCAGCTCCTGCATTAGTAGCACCTGACTTAGGTGCTCTGATGATGATGTTGCAGGATCAGGCTCGCCGACACGAGGAACAGGCCCGCCGACAGGAGGAACAGGGCCGTCGGTTGGAAGAGCAGCTGCAGCGCGGACAGGAGGAACAGGACCGCCAACAGGAGGAACAGGGACGTCGGTTGGAAGAGCAGCTTATTCTCATGAAGGACCTTCACGCTACCTTCGGGAAAGAGATAAGGGAGGTGAAGGATAGGGTTGCTCAACATGACAACCGCCTGTCGGAAGCTGAAACCCGAATCGACCAAGTGAACAATCGGGTTGACAACGTGATGGTTGACGTAAAGAAAACGCTGAACGACCTCAAAATCGGGGATGGAGTTACAGCACCCGTGGTAGCTACAACACCTTCGCTACGTGGATTCAAAGTGCCATCGTTCGACGGGACTTCTTCCTGGTCGGTCTACAAAATCCAGTTCGAGGCTGTCATGAAAGCGAACGGCTGGAATAAAAGTCAGGCCATGACTGCTCTCACCCTAAGCCTACGCGACCAGGCCTTAACTGTTCTGGAAGCTCTCGTTAAAGAAGTGACTTACGAGCAGCTCCTTGAGGCATTAGAGGCGAGCAATGGCGACGCTCACCTGGAACACGTCTTTCGTGCGCAGCTCAAAGATCACGTGAAACGCAGTATCGAAACCCTGCAGCAGTGGGCCCTTGAGATGGAGAAGCTGGTTCGAAAAGCGTACCAGTCTGTACCTGTCAGAGCGTAAAGTCAGAGCTGCCTGCAGGCTCGAGCACCACGAGACGCTTAAGGACGCCTTGACCCATGCACTGAAGGTGGAAGCCGTGCGGCAGGATCATCGTTCCCAACACGTCAGGGAGGTTGCAACAGCTACAGTTCAGGACCGCAATAAAAGTTACAGCCCTAGGTGCTACGGCTGTGGGGAAAGGGGCCATCTTCGATCCAGCTGCCCTAAGCGAACTGTAGAAACGGAAGGTGATCGATCTCGAGAGGGTAGTGCGGATAATAGCACCGCCCAGCAGCAGCAGGAAAACGAGTAAAAGCCAGGACTGCGGGGCGGGTGCTGGCTGATGTTAAAAGAGCCCCAAGGATTTCGATCTCACAAACCCATGATGGGAACAGCCTTATCATCAAGGGCGAAGTCAACGGCACGCCGTGTAAACTGACCATAGACACTGGAGCCTCTCGCACGGTTGTCAGTTCCCAACTTATAAGTCGGTTCCTTGGGGACTCCGCATACAACCGAGAACGCATTAATTTGGTGACAGCCACCAGTCAGCGCATACCCATCCGTGGAGAGAAGGAGATGGAGTTGAAGCTAGGCAACATGATCTACCTGCATAATGTCATCGTGGCTGATATAATGGACGACTGCATCCTAGGCCTAGACTTTATGAAGAAGAATTGTTGTGAGATCGACGTTAAGCAAGGTGTTTTGAAATGTGGACAAGAGGAACTTTTCGTGGAAGGGACGTTACCAGGGAATGTGTACAGCCTTAAGAAGATTGTTATTCCGCCGAGATCGGAAACGGTTGTGCCGGTTAGACTTCCTCGGAATCCTGGGCAAACTCTTCGTTGTGTACTCGTGGAAAGGGTAGACAACGACCTTCCATGGATAGTGGCTCGATCCTAGATCAGAACCGCCGACATCTCAGGAGTACGTGTGCTGTACCTTTGTGATCAGGAACAGATTATAGAAAAAGGCACATTGGTTGGTACTAGTGAGGAAGTGGATTGGTTGCGTCAGTGCCAATATCTATCGACTGGGACCCCCAGCAAGGATGGACAAACTAGAGTGACCACACTTTTAGAAGACTGTCGCAGCGTTCTCTCCCCGAATGAAACGGTCAAAGCCAAGAAGTTGTTACTCAAGTACGCCAATGTTTTCTCGTCAAACGAAGCTGACATAGGAAAGACTGGCTTAGTTCAACACAAAATAAACACAGGACAAGAATTGCCTATTCGTCAGCGGCCAAGAAGATTGCCTGTAGTACGTGAAAAGGAAGTGGAAACCATGATTGAGGGAATGGTGAAGGATGGTGTTATTGAACCTTCATCTAGTCCATGGTGTTCACCTGTGGTGCTGGTAAAGAAGAAGGACGGCAGCATGCGGTTTTGTGTTGACTACCGCCGCCTGAACGACGTTACGAAGAAGGACAGCTATCCCTTGCCAAGAATTGATGACACGCTGGACATGCTTACAGGCGTAAAGTGGTTTAGTACGCTGGACCTGAAAAGTGGATACTGGCAGGTTGAAATTGACTCTAAGGACAAGGAGAAAACTGCATTCTCCACAGGAAATGGTCTGTGGCAATTTAAAGTCATGCCTTTTGGATTGTGCAATGCTCCAGCAACGTTTGAAAGGTTGATGGAGCTTGTACTTACCAGGCTAACTGGTGACGCCTGTCTGGTCTATTTGGATGACATCATCATTGTAGGCCGTACGTTTGAGGAACACCTTCAAAACCTGGAACGCGTGCTCATGAAGATCCAGAGTGCCAACCTCAAGTTGAGTCCGAAGAAGTGCTCACTATTCAAACGGCAAGTTAGTTTTTTGGGGTATGTAGGGTCGGAAGAAGGTATCCGCACGGATCCAGAGAAAATTGCCGCTGTCAAGGAGTGGCCGGTTCTAAAAGACAAGACAGGTTAGAGCATTTTTGGGTTTGTGCTCTTATTATCGGCGATTTGTGAAGAACTTTGCAGATATAGCCAAACCTCTGCACAAGCTAACCGAGGAGAAGTGACATTTCTGCTGGGATGAAAGTTGCGATATTGCATTCCAGGAGCTCAAGAACCGTCTGTGCAAAACACCTATTTTGGGGTACCCTGATGCGGGCAAGGAATTCATAGTTGACACAGACGCAAGTGATATAGGACTTGGCGGTGTGTTGTCTCAACGGAATGGTGATCAAGAGATTGTGATAGCTTCAGCAAGTCATTGTCAAAACCGAAAAGGAATTATTGTGTCACAAAACGGGAATTGCTTGCTGTGGTAAAGTCCTTGCAGCATTTTAGCAAATATTTTCTTGGGCGAAAATTCTACTTACGAACTGACCATGCTACACTGAAATGGCTATTGCAGTTCAAAAATCCGGAAGAACAAGTTGCAAGATGGATTGAACTACTACAGGAATACGACTTTGTGATCGAACATCGCAGCGGGAAATCTCATGGCAATGCAGATGCATTATCAAGAAGACCTTGCCCTGAAGGTTGCAAGCATTGTACTAAGCAAGAGGGTAAAAGTGGTATCTGCGAGGATATTCAGGACAGACCAGCTCATGAAGAAGATAATGAATCTGAAAGAAGCGAAAGAGATATGTAAGGATCGTGACACTTGGCGATCTGTTCTCTCTGGCTACCCCGTCAGGGATTGTGCGTGAAGATAAGTAAGTAAGTAAGTAAGCTCAGCAATGAATGGAAGGACAGCCTACAACATGCACAGGAAGATTCGGACATTAAACCGATTCTGGAATGGATGAAGACCAGTGCCCCTAAGCCCAAGTGGAGTGACGTCTCAGCAATGAGTTCGACCACGAAAAGCTATTGGGCCCAATGGGATAGCTTGCTGATTCAGGATGGAGTCCTGTGCCGTAAATGGGAAAATGGTCGGGGAGACAGGTGTCATTTGCAAATGGTTGTCCCTAAGGCTAAAGTGCCGGATGTTCTACAGCTGTACCATAGTGGTTGTTCAGGAGGCCACCTGGGAGTTAATCGAACTCTCCTGAAGATCCGATAACGGTTTTACTGGGTCCACTGGCGTGACGATGTCGAGGACTGGTGCCGCAAATGTACAAGTTGTGCGACTGTAAAGGGACCTTAAATTCGTAGTAGAGGCGCATTGAAATTGTACAATGTTGGTGCACCATGGGAGAGGATAGCCATTGACGTTGCGGGGCTGTTTCCAGAAACTGAAAGTGGTAACAAGTATTTCATGGTTGTGATAGATTACTTCACTAAGTGGCCAGAAGTCTTCGCCATTCCAAATCAAGAAGCTTCAGCAGTTGCAGATAAACTAGTCATGAAGTCTTCTGTCGTTTTGGAGTACCTTTAGAGATTCACAGCGATCAAGGAAGGAATTTTGAGTCTCAAATATTCCAGGAAACTTGCCGAGTTATGGGTACTCAGAAAACACGAACAACTTCTTACCACCCACAATCTGATGGAATGGTAGAAAGATTTAATCAGACATTGGAGAGGTACCTAGCAAAAGTTGTGGAAAAACGGCAACGAGACTGGGACAGGCACATACAACCGTTTTTGTTGACATATCGAAGCGCTGTTCACGAAAGTACATCAGTGACACCAGCTTTCGCAAACTTTGGACGAGAATTGCGGCTGCCTGCGGACCTGATCAACGGAATACCACCTGATGCCCCACGCAGTATAACCGATTATGCAAATGACTTGCAGAACAAAATGAGTGACATTTATGAGCACGTCAGACAGACGGGCCAGCAAACGTCTGAGAAGATGAAAACACGGTATGACCGCAAAATGAACAACAAGGGGTTTGATGAAGGTTCACTAGTGTGGTTACACAATCCAGTTCGCAGCAAAGGGAAATCTCCTAAGCTTCAAGCTAAATGGGACGGACCGTACCAGATTGTGAAAAGGATCAATGACGTAACCTACCTGTGCACGACGCAAACAAAGTGATACGTCGTACGAAATACTTACTAATTGCTTGTCGTAACCGACGCTAGTTGAACAACCTAGGGTCGGTGGGCGGAGCCGTGAGGGTGTTACGATCGTCGGGCCGCGCTCACGGTTCAACAACTAGCGATGGTTACACACAGCAACGCGGAAAATGCCTTATTCAGAATGTTAAACAAATATAACTTTGTATTTTAAAAAGAATAGTATTGTAACTTGTCGTGCGGTGAGCACCACCGCGCTTGGCGGTGGTGCTCACCGCTCACGGAGTATGAACAGGCCGTGCCTGTGTTAGGTGCGCAGCGCCTGGTCTAGGCACACGCAGCGCCTGGAGTAGGCACACGCAGCACTTGGAGTAAGCACACGCAGCGCCTGGATTAGGTTCAAGCAGCGCCTGGAGTAAGCACACGCAGCGCCTGGAGCGGACAAACGTAGCGCCTGGAGTAGGCACACGCAGCGCCTGGAGTAGGCACACGCAGCGCCCGGAGTAGGCACACGCTGCGCCTGGAATAGGCACACACAGCGCCTGGAATAGGCACACACAGCGCCTTGGGTAGGCGCTCTCAGCGCTTGGAGTAAGCGCGCACAGCGGCTGAAGATAGCGCGGGCACTAGTAGGTGGAGGCGTGGGCGTGGCTAGGCGACGACTTCAGTTGAAGGCAGAGGCTTGCAGGATCCCGGGGCAGTGCGGCCCCGGGATAAGGCCTTTAGGAGATGCTTCAAGTTTGAAAGCTGAAGCGAGACTGAGTTTATTGGCCGATTGTTCGGCTTTTATACCTTTTTAGAGTGCTCCGCGCTCGACGGCGGATCTGAGATAAGAACGGAAAATTATTTAAATTAAAAGCAAATTTTTGTAAATGGCCAAGAGGAAAAGAGATTTTTTTGTGGAAGTATTGAAGTAAAAACATCAGACCGGTAACGAATTTGAATAAAAATTGCCATGACAACCAGATAAACAACGATGTCAAAACATGGCAAATTTTGGTTTCAGGCTAGTGAATAGAGAAACGGCAAGATTTAAGTGAAAAATGAGATATTATTGATATAGGAAAAAAGGTAGCGCACCAGCGCGCACGAAGCCCGAAATCGTAGAGTTACGGAGAACTAAATAAAAGATCGAAAAAGGTAGACTCCATCGAGACCGATTTAAAAAATGCTGATAGCGTGAAAATACGAAGTGAAAATGATTTGTTATTGTGTTCTTATGGTTTAAAAACGTTACAGGATCCTATGGAAATAAAGGTGATACAAAATATCCAGTTTTGAGGTGAATGCAGAAAATCAAAACAGAATGGAAAAATGAATTTAAAATAGTGTAAAATGATATGTAAGTAGCATAACACTACATTTTCCCCCCGAACCTGGAAAATTTTTGACTCAGCAAAAATTTTTTGATATGTACATTCTAAAATAAACCATAAAAACACAGCTTTGCAGAAACAGACATCACCAGGCAAAATCAGATATACTATCTCTTACATTCATCATCTGCATTCAGGTAAGGGTGGAGTTCACATTCAATGACTACCACTCTAAAAGTGTGTTTTCGAAAGGACATTCAGGCTTACTTAAGGAGTTGTCATCCGCTCCTGCGTGGAAAAAAAATTATTAAGAGAGTAGTCAGCCGCTCCCAAGTGAAGATAAAGATAAAGAAATTAATCTTAAGTAAGCTTTAGTCGCTATGACTTAAGTAAAGGTTAAGAACGGCCAGAGCGGTATGGCTCAAAGCCAGAGATCAGCAACATCACTAACGAGATGTGTCTGAAATAAAAATAAAAAGTGAAGATTAACCAACGAAAATTCGAGGTCCTAAAGCAAGATGTGTTGAAGAAGACTGGATCACCAAACAAACAAACAAATTAAAAGAAATAAAAATAATAAGGTGAAAGTGATGGTGATATTTATACATATATACAAATTAACAGTTAATAAAAGTTAAGAAAATTTATGATTTTACATCTTTGATGTGCCACTTGCCTCTAACTCCATTAGGGTCTTCAAGCATATAGACTAGTGGTGACAGTTTAGCTATCACTTTGCACTTGATGAACTTAGGGGCAAGTTTAGCATTAAAGTATGCGCCGGCATTGCTTAAAACATGGTTTTTACGCCAAACAGTATCTCCCACATTAAATTCTTTAAAAGACCGGAGAAGATCATAGCGAGCGCTATTTTATAACCCTTTTCATTGTTATTATTAAGTGCAAAGTTAAGTTTAAGAAATAAAAATTTAATTAAAAAATTATACCTCTTTAAGTTATCTAGAATAAAAATATTAAAGTGATGAATGTAAGTGAAGTGTTAAATGTAGGTCTAAATATAATCCAGATAAGTTGAAAAACTAGATGAAGTTTTGTTTTAGAATTTGGAAGATATGAAAAGGAAGAATAAATAAAGAGTTAAGAACGAAAGAGAAAGCAATTAAATCAAAAGGAAATGGACAAGGCGCAATAAAGGTGACGAAAAGAGAAAGAGAACCTTCACGTTGGGCGCCAAAATGTCGTGAAGCGACAATTAAAAACAAAAGAACCTAACCTAACAACAACGAAACAACAAAAATAGAACAAAAACGAATAATTTATTTAAAATTTAAAAAGATATTTATAGTTTTATATAAAAAATGAAGTATGATGATGATGATGGATGACGTGAATTACAATTATTTTAAAAAAGATAATAAAGATAGATGGGTACTGAAGCGGAGCCCGAAGATCAAAGTGGCACACCGCGCTTCGCGGTGGTGCTCACCGCTCACGGAGTATGAACAGGCCATGCCTGTGTTAGGTGCGCGGCGCCTGGTCTAGGCACACGCAGCGCCTGGAGTAGGCACACGCAGCACTTGGAGTAGCCACACGCAGCGCCTGGAGTAGGCACACGCAGCGCCTGGAGTAGACACACGCAGCGCCTGGAGTAGACACACGTAGCGCCTGGAGTAGGCACACGCAGCGCCTGGAGTAGGCACACGCAGCGCCCGGAGTAGGCACACGCTGCGCCT